GGAGTAGCCAATGGCGTTCTGCGTGAACTAGCCCGACCCACTGTGACTAAAGCAGAGCTCAGTCTGAAAACTAGGGTTTCGGTATTCAAGTAGATCTTCATCCCCATACTTACGTACGGTCATGAGTCGTGGACCATGATTGAAAAGCTTCTAACCGGGGTACAAGCAGCTGAAATGGGCTTTCTGAGATGAGTCGTTAGCGTTACATGTTTCGACATAGTCTGGCGTACAGAAATCCGCGAGTGCCTTGGTGTACAGCCACTGCTTCCTCTGACTGCGAAGTCACAGTTGTGATGGTCTGAGGACGTGTTGTGAATGCCTTCAGAAAGGAAGGTGAAACAGCTATCACATGCTATCAACCTATATAATGGTGATCACGCAGCTAGCCGCCGATCCCATATATTTTCAGGAACGTCGGTAGCTCGGGATCTGGTCATAGGCCATTTTATGGGAAAAAGTGGTCCGGATGATCTTTTCCAGATGAGCGAACTTCCACGACTTCGCAACAACTTCGAATAAGGCAAAAATCAAGTTGGAAGTGTGTCGGTGTAACCAGAAGTCGTAATACATTTTATACTGTATTTCAGTCTAAGCAGTTAATAACGGATTACATGACGGGAGTTGAGGAAGGGGCAGAAAATGAGGAGCTATGTTTGTCAATATTTAATATCTCTGATGTGAACTGCGTGCGTAAGACTTCTGAAGTTGTGTGTTTGAGAAGAGTTTCGAAGTGGTGCTTCCCCTGATCAACTGGACCTGCGAGATTCGGTATCGGCCCACCACTCGATGTTATGCATAGTTTCGCTGATCACATTTTCTGACAAAACCAAATTCCGAAATAGTTCGTATTGCTTTTTTGTACCCCTGCGCCAGCCGCGTCTTTCATTACATTCGAGACTTCTTCCCAATACGTGTTTTCGTCGATTGTGACGGGTCTCAGTGTTGGCATCGAAGAGAGAGGAAATCGCCTTTGCTTCGATTTGAGCTTTAGGGGCTACCTACGTAAACCGGATTGTGCGTGCGCTGATCCAGTCACTGTTGACATTCTTTGTGTAACGGCGAAGTACGTAGGTGCGGAATGATGCGAGGTTTGCCTCAAATGCAGCCACTTTTCCTCCACCGCATCACATGTTTCAACTGTGGCTATTCGCAGGTGATCGCGTAAATCCGTCTGAAACGCCTGAATCACTTAATTTTCGGACTGAAAGTAGTGACACCCCCCTTGAAGATACAGTGAGGTTCCTTCGCCAACTTGAGACGCATTTTCGGGCGAGCCACAACACGCTCCGTATATCTGATGTTAATCGTCTCTGCCTAACTCACTGAGTTTCTATACAGAACATGATCTTCTTGCACTGGCCAGCATATCATCAATCTAAATGGCCGCCCTGCCCCTGCTGCTATTCGAGTACCCCGTTAATAGATGCTTCCGACGGTGCTCCAATCGCGTGGTCATCACAACCAGCTTGTTTTGTTTGCAGAATGCAGTAGCTGTTCGATACTACCACACAACGTGCCGAAATCATAGCCGCCGAAAATGCTGGCTGCTCACTCATATCGTCGCGAGAACCAGACCTTCCCTTCAAGCTTAGTCACCGATCACTACAATTAGATCATTTTCCGCGGATCTTGTCCATCACAGTTTGTAAACCAGCATAAAACCAGATTTCACGACATCCTCGGCGTCCAACGCAGGCTCCTAGACAGCAACAATGAACAGATAAAAAAGTGTTCCCCGGGGCGCGTGTAAGAGGTAAGCTGACTGCCGGTATAATGGCCACGCCGTGTCTTACGGAGTTCTCCGTCAGGCCACTGTGGTCAAAACACAATATTTCTGATCAGAAGGGAAAGTTTTACAAAACATCGCTTGATTGGCCGGTTTAGACTTTCGAGAAATAGACGTCCGATTTGTAATAATGCAGGGTGCGGACTGACGGACTGATTTCCAGAAGTAGTGTATGTACGTACACCACATGTGACTGAAACGACTGAACGGCGAGCGAGTAGGCCAGTTCGTGTATTAT